AAACTGTCTCAATAATTACAAACCTTGCCAACTTGTTCTCTACACCTTCCTTGACGTCACTTAAATTTGTTTCCTCCTCAGAGTCAAAGAAAGACCATTGAGTACACACATGTTTATGTCTAAACATGACAGGCCACTTTGGCGCCGTGTCCGAGTCACACACTCCCGCTCTTAGCCCCGAGACTCCCTTGGGGTCCGTTGGTGTGGGGGCTCTGTTGCCGCTGGCCCGGCTCCCAGTCTCTGGGCCACCTCCATGAGCGTTTCCTGAGCAATCTCTGTTCTTTCTGCGCTTGTGGACAACTCAGCTGGGAGTGAAACTTGATCAGGAGATAATTTGGTCCAGATGGTGCTAATGCAGACAGAAACAACAGGCAGAAGCATTTGGTCGTGTGCATCCTTAGTCTGGGGAGTCATTTAAATTGTTTTGAGCAGTGATGGTAACAGAGCTGCCACATACCCTCAGAAAACTACCTCAGGCTCCTCAGCTACTGCACCTTCTGGGCACATGCCTGGACCACTCAGTGCTCCAGAAGGTAAGTCCAGCTCAGCCTTTCCTATCAGGCAAACAGGGGTCAGCTGGGCCAGGCACCGTGGTACAGAGGGTCAGGCACAAAGTCCTGAAGGGGCACCGGCTTCTCAGGATCAGCGTGTTGAGCAAAGGGTCATGTGGGACTGGAAATGACAGGGAGCATGGCAGAAGCTCGAAGATGAAGGGGAACAAAAGAGACACAGGCAGGGCTGAGGGACGCAGAAGGGGTGAGGTGGCCCAGGAAGGCATCTCTAGTTTGGTCTAGACTGAGACTTAAAAAGAGATTGGAATTTACTGTTTGATTCAGTGTTTTCTTTCCTGTCATGAGCTTGACCTGAGAAAGACACAAATAAAAGAAACTGCTTGTCTGCAGGACCCAGGGCTGAGAAAAGACCATCGCTTTGCTTCAGGGAAAAGAGGAATCAAGAGAACAGGCACTCTCACTCTGAGGATGTCACATGAGAGGGAGTCACATGAGAGGGTTCCCAGCAAGGCCATGGGATAGGTTCACACCACCATCTCCTTGGTCACTAATGTCATGAGGGTGAACCCAGCAGACAAATGGATGTGCAGAAGTGGAGCCCGAGTGGTAAGAGCAGCCACAGGGGCCTTGTGAGCACAAGTGACAAGGTCCCCTGAATGAGAACGACTGCAGCGTGTGGCCTCAACCAGTGACAATCCCCCAGGTCTGAGCAGGAGGTACAAGAAAACCCCTTCGGGGGTATTATTTTTACTGAGATAACAATGGCTTACAACGCCATGTAATTTGGGGGTATATAAGCACACCTCTGCAGAACTAGGTCACACCACCCCATCCTCCACCAAAGTCCGCTGGCCCGCACCCCACCCTTCCTTTCCGCAGCCTCAATTCTGCAGTCAGATTTCTGGGTTTGTTTCTCAGCACCAAAGACCCACCCTTTACACCTTGTCCATCAGAAAGGTCTTCTGCCAGATATACAAAGACAGACATAGACTTTGTTTTCTAAATAAGGAAAAGGTAAAGATACAAAATAGCTCAACAATTCTCAGGGTAAAAGCTCATCTTCCTTATCCTGTTGGGACAGAGAATGGCAGCATCAGCTCCTGGCAGCAGTGGGCTGTGGGTGTCCTCCGACCATCCAGGCACAGTCAGAAGGCAGAAGGCTGCCCAAGGTCCGGTGGCTGCCCAAGGTCGTATGACAAAGGCTCAGCCAGGCTTTTTTCCAAAAACGTTTTTAACTCCAACATCGTCTTAATGGCTTGCCGTAGACTTATTTAGCCAGTAGTTGTTATTACTAAAAATGGAAGCTAATGATTTCAGCTAAAAACAACTAGGCCGCTACTACCAAAGTCTAGTAAGAAACTGATTATCATGGGGTGCTTTGGGGGTCCCCTTCTTTTCCCCCACAGAAAGCTGCATAGGATTCCCACAGCAAATGTATTTCTCACTCCCCTGGGGCCCGAAGGCTATGAGCTTGTTCCCTAGAGGACACCACTTCCCAGAGCTGCTGGAAGATTCATTATCTGCAGGGAGGGAGTCCTCCCCCCAACCCCCACTGACCATCTCCTTGTTGTCTGGCATTGACACATTATTGACACCTTTGACTTTCTTCTCTTGAGCTTCCACTGTTAACACTGCCAAGGTCACTGACATATTAGCACAGTACACTTTAAAAAATAATAAGATTTATTTATGTGTGCATGCATGCAAGAGCTGGGGTGGAGACCAGTGGTGCAAGGGGTGGGGATGGGGTGAAAGGATTCACCAGAGACACAGTGGGGAGCAGAACAGGCACATCTACTGAAATACACTGCTGAGGGGAGCACCGGGTGAGACAGGAGAGGTCTGCCATGCCCTGCGGGTCAGTCCCTGGCTAGGGATGAACTTAATACAGCAGTGGCTGCAGATACCTTGGTAACTTGGTAGCGCTGAGACTTTAACCCCTGCGCCACCAGGGAGATGCAGAAGCACAATTTTTACAGGTCAGATAATAGGCCTCCAGCTAGAGCTACCCAAGTTAGCCCTGTATCCCAGTATCCCCAAAATGGAAGCACAAAAGCACCCCCTGATAATCAGTTTCTTCCAGCTGGAAGAAATCTCACAAATGAGAAATAGTTTTCTGTTGCCACGGTTTGCTTTAACCAAGGAAGCGAGTTTAGCACAAGACACTTCAACAGAATTACATACTGATTAACTACGTTAACTGTCAGTGATTGCGGCAGAATTCAGGTTTCTTGAGCCATCAGTAATTTTATTCATTTGAGGATAAAACTAATAAACCTGTGATGTTAGTTTCTGTAAATGAAATTTGAGTGGACAAGGATGGGCTACTTAAGGGCATGTTACAAAGGAATCTTAAGTTATAGGTAAATGGAGTAAAACTAGGAATGCTATTAAGTCATTCTGGGGCATGACCTTGATGAAATGTTTTCAACTTGACAGTTTTACAAATAAACAAGTGATTCGCTTTTGTCTTCCTCTGAGGATTCCACGTGTTGTTGTCACGACGGATACATTTTTCTTGAACAGTTTTCTGGCTTTACTGAGCATATGTACAAAAATGAAGAATGATGTAAAATACAGATTAAATAATAATTTTAAAAACAAATGGTTTTCCCTGAGGGACTCTGGTTTCAGTGACCATTCCGAATTTTCTTTTTCAACTGAAGACATCTCAACACGTTTCCTACTTGCCCTTCAGGGTTCTGGCAGCTGGGTCTTCAAGCGAGGTTCAGAGGCGAGAGAAGAACTAGAGGGACGCAGAGAGCACTGCGCATGCGCTCGCCTCTGCGCGGCACAACATGGCCGCCCTCCAGCTGGAGCACCCAAGTTGGCGTACACCCAAGTTGGCGTACACCCCAGTTCTGCTGCCCCCTCCCCCTCAGCGAAAGTGCAGAGCTCCAGTGCTGGTGCAGACCTCGCTGCATCAGGCAAGTACAGTCTGACCTGTCTCCCTTGGGTGTGAGCACCCCTCACGGAGTAACAGCACATGGGGTAAACACAGTGGTATCACACTGAGCCAAGGCCCCTTTTCCTTACCTAAGACTTGGGTTTCTTGAGTTTAATACGTTAATTTCTAAGAACAGATTAGCTGAAGGTGAAGAAGACATGCCGACGACTTTTTCTAAGAGACACATCCCACCAAATCAGTGCATTTTTCCCAAAAAGATATCAAGAAAAAAAAATGTTTTAAGACCAGCTGAAAATATAAATGACCTGATATTCTTCTAGGATTATTATGTACCTTCTGGCACTTAGTTTGCACAAGCCGGTGCAGAAAATTTCATTTTTTCTCCATACCTTACATGTTCACTATATACAAAGTGGCATTTGGCTCATGGGATACTTGAGCAAGGCGTGTAAAGTGGTGACGTCTGATCAGGAAAAGTCCCTGTGTTTACTATAGCAGGCACTAATAAGCCGATCTACATTTAAGGAGTTTTTAAAAATACATTTCATTTCTCCTGACATGAAGCGAATTTTAAGTGCAAGAACTTCTTTTTACTTTGAAAAGGTAAGTAGTTTCAGAATGCATATTCTCTAGAAGAGTTCCTTCCTTCAGTGCTTTATTTTCAGGGCCTTATAATAACCCTGGCAAGCTACACTGCCTTATCATCACAACTCCTACCAAGTTTTCTGTATAAGTTGATTCATCAATTCTACCTGGGGCTGCACCTAAGTGCAACTTAAAGAAACTGCCAGCAGTTCATGGCTAATGAGCAGGCAAACATTTGTGTTTCCAAATTGACAAAGAGGAGAACAACTCTCAGACTATTGGCTTTAAAGGGAGCGATGGCTGATTTCATCCTATCAGATACCACCCTCATCCTGAGACTTCCCATCTTTGGTTAATTACAGTCAGAGGCAACACTTCTTAGAATAATACATGCCATGCGCAGTGGTCTCAATAACCCCATTGCCTTTCACTACCAAGGCCGGTCTGGCCCCAACTCAGAACGAGGCTGTCATTCCACACAGCCCAGTTACTTGTTGACGTGGAGGTTTCCCTAGCAACTTCCCACCTCCTCGCCAGATCTCCTGAATTGGAGTTCTCTGCAACATCACCATAATAATCTGTATTCAACTCGAAGGGAGCAGACTAAGGCAAGGTTCCTAAGGAGGGAGAAGGGCCAGGAGCAGGTGAGCACCGCTCACCAAGAAATGCACAGTTCATGGTGCAAGGTCCTTCACCAGATTCCCCAAAAGATAATGGAAATGGCCAGATGGGAATTCTAAACAAGATGTGTGTCTTGTTCCTTTCTCTGGAAGCAATCTACCTGTTCAGAGCCACCATCAGAGTAGGAAGACTATTAAAGGATATAGGATGGCACGTTTATTTTCTTGGATTATAAAAAAAATTCCTCTTACTTAATAATTTGACTTTGAATTATTTGGGGTAAGTTTTGACTTAACAGAACACATGAATCAAACTGGTTAAAACCTTAATGATGTCATGACATGTATTATGTAGTAAATCCTGGATATAGAAGATCTATGATACCCCAAAGCTTCCACTTTATGATCTGGCTTTTAAAAACAATCAAAGAAATACTCTTTGAAGAACAAAGTTTTAGGGCTCGGAGGAAAAGGAAAGTAATCATTACATATTCATTATGGATCCAGCAGAGATTTTTTTTAATCCATTTAAATCCAAGTCGAGAAGATCAGATTCTGATCCTACATTATTTTTACATCTTTAGAACAAGTTTTCACTCACAAACTCAAGGTTACGATGGCATTAAAAATATCCACAGGAAAAGAATGACACAAATTGCAATGGTAAGATTAATAGCTGTTGCGTTCGAGCAGTTCCTTTATCTCCATTTTCCAAATCGCATATAGCATGGTTAGAAAATTTTTGCAATAAAAACTGCCAGTTACAAAAGAATCCAAGATGATGAAATAATGTTGATTTTCTAAAATGACTCTTCAAACAAAAATGCAGAAAGGAGGCCTACACCCCAGACAGAGAAGATGCTGGATGGAAAGGTTCCAGGGTCCTGGAGACAGGATGCAGGTACCACAGGCTTCCCCCCAAGGCAGCTATGACCAAGACGAGGCTTTATGCCTGTCCAAGACTGTGTGCCTGAGGTATCTCAAAGCATTTGCAGAACCGGTACTAGATCTGGCTTTGTGCTAAGGAAAGTGAGGTCCACACAGAAGGGCCCAAATGGCCCCTTCGGCCTCCGGGCACTCGAGCCCACGGGTTTAGGGAAAGGTTAGTGCTGCTTCACGTCCTCAACATCATTCACTTACAAAACAAGTAGACACACAGGCTGAAAATGAAATCTCACTCACACACCCCATGGAGGGACTCTCTGTCCCTCGTGGAAAGGATTTCAGACAATAAAGCCAAAAATCTCTATTTAAAATAGGTGTGTGTCTCATAAGGTAAATTGTTAAAGTTCTTTTTATTTTCCCCAATAGTGTAGTAGACATACCAAGTTAGTAGCTTTACCCAGAGAGAGGGAATATAAATGCTTACTATGTAGATCTATAAAAATAGAAAACCTTCAGTAAGGACTTGAGAGTCTGTTCCTCAAGAAATCACACTATATGTACCCAGAAGCTGTCCATAAACTAATGTAACTTTTCTCCTAGATGTCTAAATACATCTTGCTCCACGTCGGAGGCATCCCGAGGCTGAGCATCTGCCTGACCCCACAGGGTGCACAGTGGCGGTCACAGCTTCTGGGTGGTGAAGAAGGTCTTGGTCTCCCTGCAGACAGGATTGACACAGAGCGGGCAGCTGAGCGTTAGCTGCTTGGAGCAGCGCTCGTTGGACTGGATGTGTGCGTGCACCAGGTCAGCCAGGGCCTGGGAGGGACAAGAGGCAAAGGGTCATCAGAAGCCTGCAGTCTGCTGTGCTTCCCGCACTGTACTGCCCCCTCCCCCCACCTTCCCGGATCATCACTAGGTGGGGGTTTCTTTTCATTTGAATTATATGAAGCCTTTAACATCCTCCTTTCCTAAGAATCCTCAGTGCAGAGAAAAGTGAAAATGGAGATTTTGAGACAATGAAATCTTCTTGCCCCGCCTGCTAGAACTTGTCTCTGAAAGGCAGCCTTTCAATGAGACGTGGGTAGAGGTGGGCAGAAGTAAGTGGGGCTATCTAAAAGCGAGAGGAGTCAGTGTATAAGGAATTCGATTTTATTTTTGTAATTAATTGGAACTCAAAATGTTCTAATATGTGAGAAAACCAATATTCTGTAAGAGCTTCTCAGAGGATTACTCTCCGATATGTTCTACCAGGTGGTTGCGGCCCCGCAGATACCTTAGAGAACAATGGATTTCCATTAAGAGACTCTGCTCTTCTGATGTTTTCAGCTCCACACTGAATCAAATGAGAAAAGGGAGAAAAAACACAAACACATTTTATTTTCTTTCCTTTTTTTTTTTTTTAAAGAAACTGCTGCAAAATAAAAAGCTGTGAAATTATTTCTTTTTTGGGGGGAAAAATAATCAGACCAGTTTTTAAAAAAGTTAGTTATTTTAAACATTATATTCTTCCATCAAAGAGTGAAACGAATCATAGCTAGATAGTTTTCTTTATTTATGGCCTGATTTATCAGTTGCTGATCTCAGCCCATGTGCTCACTAAGGAGTGGCTTTGGTGTAATAATATGAATGTGAATACCATTCAAAACAAAAGCTTGCTTTCCCAATACCGATCATCCCAAACACCAATATGAACATCTTTGTGGTTCATTCTGTTCAATTTAGCAAGCTCACAATTAGCCAAGGTCACGGTGAGATCCACCAGGCGTCACTAAGATGAAACTCATAGACACCCTACAATCTCGTTTCGGCCAATGATAACTCCCCATAAATTCTTCATCACAACTACTGACAAGTCATTTTGGTTCTCTCAGACGTCATCAATGGTTGATGGATGACCAGCCTGCACACAAGAAATTCTGCAGGGGCGGGTGCTGGCCGAAGTTCACCCCCACCCACTCTTCATCCCACCCTGCACCTGCCGCCCACCCAAGAGGGCAGTGTCTGAGGAGTCCAGGCCGCCATCAATCACGTGTGGCGGACCAGGCACAGAGGCTCTGGCCGCAGAAGGGGCTGGGTCCTGCTGCCTCCACTTTTCCCAAGGAAACAGCCCTCTAAATGGCACCTGGGGTTCAGACCGGCCCTCAGAAGCCGAGAGATGGGTGAACAGTAGTTTTTCTCTCCTCTGATAACTCACATCCATCTTCCATTATGAGACACTGAGGCTGGAATTTGTTATCTCAATAATTGGACTGATCACAACTCACTGGTAACCAGCTCATGAAACGAGGGCGCTGAAGAAGTCCAGGCCATCACCTCACCTCTGCTTTGTGTTTCATTCCACTCGCTTCTCTTAAGTGACAGCTTCTTTGTGCCTTGGAAGCCAACAAAAAGTAGTAGCATAACCCCAAGGAAAGGCTAAGAAAAGAATTAGTGATCATATTTTCTTCCTTGAAATTGGTGAGGGCAATTAATTTTTCTTAAGGAAATACAGTCTTGTCACTCTCAAGAAGTACAGTGACTAAAGCTAAAATAACAGTGTTGCCCATAGTGGTCTCTGGGACACCAGGCTTCACAAAGGCACAAAAGTGCTTGCTGCCCACTGGGGACAAGGAATTAACTTAAGGCACTCAGACTGTTACTTAGATTAAGTAGAATTCAAAATAACGAGGTCACCGCACATGCATACTGGAGGGTGCTTTTGAATATGAACGCTGAACAGTATTTTTGAATGATATACTGGATTACTGCAGAGGAAGTTCCCACGTAACTCACGTTACACTAAGTCACTAAAAAGCCAGATGGGGGCATTTACCTCGTTGGCTAGAACCTGCGCACACTCGATGTCCAGTTCATACAGTGTTTCAATGTGGTCGCTGGTAAATGCAATTGGGACCAAAAGGATATTCTTCCGCCCCCTGGCACAAAGCCCGCGGATGGTGGCTTCCGTCTGAGGACCCAGCCACGGCATCGGACCGACCTACAAGAGAAGATATGAGCTCAGGGCGGGACCCACTGCTCTGTCCTGGCCCATGGCACGCGAGGTCCAGTGCCCTGGGCACCCACACACACCCTAGGAGAGAGGAGCTGACTTGCCACCCGCTTGAGGTATTTCTACCTCAATGCGTGAGTCTCCTCCTAGAAGCTGGGAGAATACGAGTAACAGTATCTGTCATTAAATTAAAAAGAACATGAAATTAGAGCGACTCAACCATGTTTTAATTTCCCGTCCTTCTTGCTTGCCCATGTTCTTCCCACCCGTGATGAGCAACCGGGTCACAGAATAGTTTGTGTGAAGAACCAAATCTAACCATTTTTAGAACACAGCCCTAAAACAGGCCCCCCTGGAGAGAGCTGGCCACCCACAGGTGTGTGGGAGACTCCTACCTTGGACTGCCAGACCAGACGGTAGGGGTTGGAGAAGCCCAGCTTATCCATGACTCTCTGGACAGTGGCACCCACCTCCTGCGGATAGGGGTCCCCTCTGTTGACCACCTGCAGCAGAGACAAGTGCAGCTCAGTCAGCAGCACTTCAGTGAAGGGTCCTGAGAGCCTGGGACGGTGGCGAGAAGACCAGAGCCCACACAGGACACCCCTTTTCCACCTTATGCACTGATAATGTACATCTCAATTGCTCAACTTCCTCAGCTCCACTTCTTCATTGGCTCAGAACACTGTGCTCAACCAGCTCTCAGGTCCCTAAGAGAGTGTCACCTTCCTTGTCACTTGTGGGGGACTCACAGTGCCCAGAGATGCAGGATGGGCCACTTCACCCCCATCAGAAAGTGGGGACCAGCACTGAAAAGCTGGCCCAGTGAAGTCAACACCCCTGACTTCTACATTGGCAGGCCTGCGCAGGTGGTGTGAGAATGCCGTGTGGACATGTGGACAATCACAGCATCTGTACACATCTTGCTCCACTGGTGGGAGAAAAGGGAGGCAGCAGTGTGTGGTTCAGAGTCCAGGCTCCTCAAGCCTTGTCTTCTCATTCCTTCTGTCCCCTCTTCCCACCACCAGGGACTGGAGACACATGTTTGTGCACAACTGTCTGAAAAATGGTCCTGACAGAACAGTGTGTTCTTTGAAATGTTGCATAGAAATTTCTTTCTGCTTTAATATTTAGTCATGTACTGAGTCCCTGACCACTTACCTGCTTTCTCCCCATCATACTTATTAACACCAGATTATCTTATGTATTATGATTATGATCTGTATCCCCCTAATCTCTGCGTGCAAAGACGACTGTCTGTGTTATTCATCCCCACATCCTCTCATTCGTTGTGAAGAGAACAGCACCTGGCACACAGAAGGTGCTTGAGAAACACTGCTGAAATGAAATATGGACAAACTATTTGATCATATTCCTATGAGTTGCTAAAATGGCATAAATGTAGAAGGTACAAAAGACAGAAGCACATGGAAAGATTGCCACGGGCAAAGCCACCAGTGGGACTTAAATATGTGGCTGAGGAATAGACACCTGCATAGTCCCAAGGTATCTTCCCCAAGTTATTCTTAACGACCAGAGGAAAAGAGTAACTCAGCAGTGGACAAATCTGGCAGGCACCTCAATACTATCAGTGGGCCATGTGCCTCGCAGATGCCCAGAGTTGCCTGAGGCAGGTTGGGACAAACCCAAAAGGTGAAGCATGCTACCCAGTAACTGACATTCCCACAAAATCACTCCTCAAAAATATCTTGGGTCAGGAAAGATAAGGAAAGTGTGAATACTTGTCACAGACTGGGGGAGACCAAGAAGTCATTGGGGTGCAATGCAGGGCGCTGGGCTGGACCCCAGAACAGAGAAAAGACAATGGTACAGGAAGTAGAGTGGGAGGAAGACAGGCCTGTAGTTGACTGGCAGCACCCCACTGGGGTCTTCCTTTGCTCTGGTGCCTGCAAGGTCACCACCGGGGGAAGCCAGGGAAGGGTGTGTGGAAACTGTACTGATTTGGCATATTTTCTGTCAATCTAAAATGACTTCAAAATAATTAAATAGAAAAAAATTCATTAAGGGGCCCTCCCTGGTGGCACAAAGGCTTAAAACGCAGCCTTATGAAGCTGTCCACGGCCACAGCAGTGCAAGGTGGATCCCTGGCCAGGGAGCTGACCCACAAGGCGCAGCAGACCTCTCCTGTCCCACGCGCTGCTCCCCTCAGCAGTGTGTTTCAGTCAGTCTGCCTGTTCTGTTCCCCACCCTGTCTGGTGAATCTTCTCACCCCCAGCACTTCTGGCCTGTACTGCAGTTCTTGCATGCATAAATAAATAAATCTTTAAAGTTTTTTCATTAAGGAGAAAAGTCATCAGAGTAAATGCAGGGGAAAGAAGAATCTGCTAGAAGTTTCCTCCTTTGCTCTTCCCAGCCCCACTTGGCCTCCGGGCAAGCCTCAGTCCTACACAGGGCACTGGGGCCGCAAAAACAAGCCCGAAACAGCGTGGACACAGCAAAATGATGCCCGAAACAGCGTGGACACAGCAAAATGATGCCCGAAACAGCGTGGACAAAGTAAGATGAGTCCCTGAGGCGAGACCGGAAGTGAGGCCAAAGGCCGGAAGAGAAGGCAGCACCTGGAATCCTTCATGGATAAAATGTGTTCCCGCCCTCCTGGCAATCCAGACGTGGTCACCCCCATCTAGCACCGTTACTGAAAGGATCAGGGTGGGAGAGCAGGGAGTTGCATGATGCCAGAAAGAGTATGAACCTGTGCAAAGAAAACAGGCAGCTTGAGGTAGAGAAGCGTCTGCTCCAGAGCCACCTACTGCTTGGCCAGGCGGCGGGAGCGGAGAGCAGCGGAGGCCGCGACCTGGCTACCACCAGGTGGCAGTCAAGGCCGACCCGCACGGGCCCCGCCCCTCAAGTGAAGGCCATTAACCCTGAGGTGGAAACCACCTGGGAGAGGGAGAGGGACGCGCCACCCGCCGCGCTGGAAACGGACGTGTGGCTGGTTCTGAACCACGAAACCCGCTCTCCAAGCACACAGCGCCCGCGCTTGACCACCTGGTCTCCGAATACCTGGCAGGTATGACACAGGTAAGGTCTGTTCATTACCAAGGCCTGGCGTGAGGGGGAACCAGACCACAACTGCCACACTTTAGACTCACTGACCAAAACAGGAAGCCTCCTCTTAGCAAGTCAAAAACTGTCCCAAAAACTTGAGGTACTATAAACGGATAAGAAAAAGTTAGCGCACTTCCAGGAATTCACATAGCCCGGGTCAGGTCTGGACAAAACAGCGGGACTGAGAGCGCTGGTCTGAACGGAGGCCTCGGATTCAACGCAGACAGGGCTCTCTCAGCAGAGAGCAAGGCATGTCCTCTTTGAACTGGCCTGCTTCCTCACAAGCCTTGGGTGGGAACCCTTCTCCCAGTTATCCTCGGAAGGGGGTGAATCAGACAACATCACTTCCTAATATTGCAATTTAAACTTCCAGAGTGAGCCTGGTTAGCCCCAGATCAGAATTCATCCTCACAGCAGGACCTTGTGGAGGGTGGTTACTTACAGACAGTGGCAGCGAGTGGGCAGAGAAGAGAATGACCACATCGCTTCTCTTCTCAAGAGGAAAATGGTCCAGTTCCTTCTGAATGTTGTCTGCAAAGCACTGTGGGAATGCCCAGAGGATAAGGCGGAAAGAAAGAAAGAAAATGGAAGGTATTTTAAAAATGAGAAGTTTGACACAAATCTCAGAGCAACCCTGAAACACCAGGACTCTCTTTTTCAAAAAGTGCAAACACTACAGTCTCCTCTCGCTTTGGTTCATCATCAAGATGGCTCCTGCCGGTCTCGGGGGCCTAGGGAATTTGATGGGAAACTTCTGAAGCTCGCTAATGGCTCACTGAAAATGAACGCTCTGGATCTGCTCCCCCTCGGGAGGCACAGGGCTCACTTCCAGATGGAAAGGAAACGCAGATGGGAAGGAGAAGTTGTTTTAAGACCGCTTATTTGCTCGGTTAGCAGGAAAACCGCTTACAGGATCTTTCTTAATCTCCCTGAGTTTGGCGTTCAGGTCAGATCACTTTAGACAGAAATAGTAGTAGAGGAATAGGAAAATACTCTTCTATTTTTACCACCTTTTCCTTTGGAGTCCAATGTCCTCACTGAGGCAACCTTTGTAACAACAGATGAGAGGTGTGTAATCCTCTTTATTAAATTCACAGGGGGGGCAATATGCAGCAGACTCCAGGGCCTGTTCAGTCACATCTGTGAATCCGGGGCTAGCAGGCTGGTCCGGCCTCCCCCCCCCCCCATCTCTGTCCACCAGAGCAGTGGTTCCCTTTGTCTAAATGGCACTTTCCAGTTCACATCAATAGGTGCTGAAATACCAGGCCTGAAGAGGCTTTCTTTCATCTTACACCTTAATCATTCTTTGTCATTTAAGCTATAAAGCAGATGCTACAAAGGACATTAATGGATTAACTGATGAAATTGGAATATGAACATAGAGTAGATAAATGTAAGCATCAATGTCAAATTTACTTATGTTCAATATTGAATCCTAGTTATGTAAGAGAGTATCCCTGACATTTCATGGCATCTGTGGCTGTGTGTCTATCTTCTCAAATGGTTCAAAAACAATTGCATATACACACAAAAGAATGCAATGATACAGCAAGCGGTGTAAATAATTTATGAATCTCGATAAAGAGAAGAGTTCCTTAAACTATTCTTAGTCTTGTAACTTTTCTGCAAGTTTGAAATTATTTCCAAATAACAAGGTTTGTTTGTTTGTTTTTTTAAAAAAAGTCCTTTTATAAAGGACATTTACCATGTATGTTCTCTGGTATTTTGATAAATCCATGGTAAATACTATTACTATTTACTATTTAGGGCAAAATATTCCTTAGTAGGTATTGAGAAATTGCAGTGCAGTTATGGGTAAATAAATGCCTGGAGGCACACGTGGCACCTACAGTTACTTCCCCTTTCAACATGTATGATTCCCCTGCAGCATAAATGTAAGAGGAGATACAAATAAAGGCCATGTTTCATGGCGTCTCTGCAAACAGCATGCTCAGAAAAGCCTGAGTAGCCCCACTACAGAATTTATATGGGTGTCTGTGCCTGTTACACACATGCCAGTTGCCCCAACAGCTAGATAAAAATCACTATTAGAATAACTGGGAATTAACAATCATAAGTAGTCACAAGTAGGAATGTTGATTAAAACCAGTATTTTTAGCTTTCAACATCATCTTGAGTTTTAGTTTAGGGATTTTGGTCTGTTTGTCTTTTGAATTTCTGGCAGATATCCCCCACAATACTAAATAAAACCTACCTATAAACTTTTGTTTCCAATAACTTTTAGCCCTCCTCATCTTATAAAATGGCAGGCAAGTGAAATACAGTTTATATGGCTTACTACAGACTCTAAACCATTTTCAAATCGGAGGCACGCTGGGCTAGTGGAAGAGCTACTTAAATCGCCCAGAATCCACCTGCGGTATTTCTGAGGTGCAATCCCTCTGCAGAATGAAAGCGGCAGGCGGCTCTCACAGCCCTTCAATCACCCCATCCAGCAGGCAGATAAATGCCTCTAAAATTCCCTTTCATTTCGTGAACACAGACTTCCTCAGTTAAGAGACCTTTCCATCTTTCTGCTTCCCCCTTTTCAAAGGACTGAATTTTAATGCAAATCTAATTACTCCCTGGATCGGGGCAGGCACATGCTGTGCAGACCGGCTTCTCCGCAGCCACATGTCAGTGCAGACTGAAGCACCCTCCTCTGCTCCACCCAC